GGGAGGTATCAGACATCAGAGGCTTGATACTGTGTTCCCTCGAAGGGTTCATAGCCCATAATACAGCACTTGTGATACAAGGCTAGAAAACAGATATGCTCAATCTACAGGATTTTACTGATTGAGAAATTCAAACCTCCATTCTAAGCGTGGGGGTTGGAAAGTACAGCTTTATAGATGGCATGATGAAGCATTCACATTTGGTAGTTCTACCACGCAATTCACCCTCCTACCTGGCCGTTCCTCGAAAGAACCTAGAGAAGAGATTAGGATAAACTTCCAAGTGTGATAGCCCCCATATCAAGCATGGAAGGGCGAAAAATTCCACTGCTGAAAGTGGCAAAGTGGTCCCTGTGCCAATTTTTAACCCAGTGATCAAGCATCCAAAATCCATGGTATGATAGCATTGCATAGGGAACACACATATATTGCTCGAACTTTCCCAGTAGGTTAACCGTCCCTGCATCTGATGATTATCTTCTGGAACCATTAACCTTGTTCTAGTGTATTGCCTGATTTGACTCTGAAAAAAACTCAACATTCTGGGATATTTTTCGAATGAGTTGAGGTTCTGAAGGGTGGATGTTCAAGTATGAGTACCTCCTATTCGGACATCCTTTTCATGTAAGCTAATTACATCATAGCAGAGGCCTCTCTACTATCATATTCTACGGATACAAGAATCTGTACGGTGCGGTACGGCCCTCGACCGCAGGTCCGGGATTTCTCAACAATAGAAAACTGCCGATTCACGCGCTTGCACACCGAGGAGTCCACCATAATATCAACTTATTCGGCTGATTCAGGAGGCAGTCGCCAAGAGCCTATTCTTTGTAGCTGGTGAGATCTATCGGGCCTTCTAACGGGACTATAGGGTTGGACACCAGTATCCTCAATCCTCAGTCATACATTAAACCTTCCCTCTATTTCCCACTGCACTCTGTTTTTTTTTTTAAAAGCCCTGGGTTTAGGGTTCTTACTTGAAGACTAATACAGTAGTTATCTGGTCGATATATTGTGTGGTACGTGCCCCGTATCAAAATATTTGGTAGTTTGGCTTAGGTTGAATTCTGGAGGAGGAGGATGGGGGAGAGAGCCATAGCCGTTGGTACCGGCATCTTATTGACAGTAAACAGGCAACTTCCTCTTCAGAGCTGACTATTAAAAAAAACCCAGAGAATTGTGTCGGTGATCTTCTCTAAACCATGTATGGGACTAACCTTCTGAAAATAAAAATTTGTCGAAAAAAGCTTCGTTTCCGCTGATCGGAATTGTTGACAGCAGCCATCGAGTAATCAAGCTCTACTCGAGCATTCATCAGCTCAGTCACCTCTCATAAGCGATTATTATTTCAATAATTGCCTCTCTTAAGGTAATCGTCGTCAATTTGTGGTCAATAGATTACCGTACCTCAGTTTACCAAATACTGGTAGTCAACAGGCATCAAAACGAATCACGCGGTTGTTCAAAAAAGAGTGGGTGCCCTCCCACCACCCAGCTTAGTAACCAGAATACCACTCTCTGCGAACTTTTGAGGATTAAGGGTCCCGCCGACGTTTCCCCAAGCACTAAAACTATCATCCGTAGGAACCCGACCTTGCCCCGCCGGATCCTCACAAAATCGGTTTCCATTTGGCCTATCGCGACAACAATGAATCAAGACAGGGACTCTCAAGATAACTCGATTGATGGCGGACATCACCGACTACAACACCAGATTCAATTTAGTCCACCTCCCTCGCAGCAAGGCGGAAGCGAATCAAATGGTGGAGGTGGAAGCTCAAATAGTGGCTCGAAGAGGAAAAGGGTTTCTTTGGCTTGTAATGCCTGCAGAACGAGGAAATCGAAGGTGTGAAAAAAATATTTGCTTTGGTTTCTAACCATGGGATTGTTCCTATCAGAGAGCCGGTTAATGTGAATCGCAATTCGGAAGATTTGAATGAGAAGCTTACCCACATAACTGCTTTACCTAGTGTGATGGAGTTCGGCCAAAATGTTCAATGTGTAGAGGCAAGTTTATCACTTTATCTGCCTTTTGTGATCCGGAGGGGTTACATAGGAAAGATATATATTAACATTCACGATGTTTCAGACCTAGATTTCGATTGCGTTTATCAGCAGAGCGCTTCTTCTTCGAACACGATTGTTGGAAAAGAGTACAAACGCCTTTCGATAATGCACAATTTTAGTAGTCTGCAAATTCTGAATTTAAACTCCATAGTTATATTGGCCGTCTCGAGACTCGGTTACTCGCCGTCGAAAACATCCTAGCAGCGCAAGCCTCCAAGTCCCAACTTCGCGACTCGCCTTCTACACCCGCGGCCCCGAACCACGACCTTAACGACGACGTGCAGAACCGGCGTAGTGTTAGCGCTGACGGCCCACCTTCAAAACGTATCCGAAGTGAAGGGTCAGACACACCTAGTGTAGACGCAAATAACGGGGAAACTTTCGTAAACCTTAAGCTGGGGCAATTAGAGGACGAATCAAGTGCCCAAGACACTGTTCTTGACGGCATGGGCGCCCTGAATTTGGGGGATGAAGAGGATTATGGCTATTTTGGTAACCATGACTGTCCTATACACCTTTGGGTTGTTCTAAACATCTCGTCATTCAGGTCCCTCGTCAAATATTGCCTTCATTGGGCATGTCACTCGCGCCCTAGCAACATCCGTGAGCGTAACTACAACTTTTACTAAAGAATTTCGCCGCACAGATTCTGCTTTAGAATCATCCTCTCGTTTCATCTCTCCTCGTAACTCCCCGGCCCCTTCCGCTGGGGGTGAATTTGATATTCGGCCAGGGAGTGTCAATATATATGTCCTGCCGCCTCAAAAGCGTGTATTACACTATATAACATTATATTTCCAAAACACTAATATTCTATTTCCATATCTGCATCAGCCCAGCTTCCTAGAAACCTACGAAGAAGCTTTAAGGGATGGATTTTCAAAGGTCCGGCGAACATGGCTAGCTTTGTTGAACTTAGTTATGGCGATGGGCAGTAGAGCTAGCACAGAGACGGATGTCAGTGCTGAAGAAAAATATAAGACTGCTGAGGTGTTTTACCAAAGAGGGTTCGGTTTATGTGATGGTCATTTTCTCAGACTTGCAAGTTTAGATTCGGGTGAGGCGTCAGAAATAATCTCTGGTTGGCCAACGGAACTGATGGTAAATAGTGCACTTACTGCTGCTGATGAGCCATTATCTTCAGAGTACGCGGAAGCCGAATCAATGTTGGACTACACACGGGTTAGCTGTACGAATAGCGTTACAGCTAGGATTGCATTCAAATCAGGCCTTGCAACGATTCCCACCCTTGGAGAGGGAACTGAGAAAAAGAGCTTGGTATGGATGTGTCCTGTTAGATAGGTAAGTAGGTTGAGTGGTAAGATTATAACTTGACACCACCACCACTGATTGACTCATAGAACCCTGTGCATGACATTTGGTCGCCCTTCTGCAATAGCAACGTACGCAGAGAAGCTAGACTTACCATTGGACGTTGAAGATGATGTGTTCAAGACAAACATGTCACCTGTTCCAGTTCAGCCGTCTACTCCTACCTCGGTCACCTTCTTTATTCTCTCTATGTGAGGAGATCTCTTCATTCGATTTTGCATTAGCTAATTAGAAGCCTAGAAAGTTATATACCCTCCTAGGTATGATAATTGACACGCTATACGGGGGAAACCTCGGTGGCGGGGATCAAGTAGAGCCTACGTTTGCCGATGTAGCTCGTGTCGCAGAGATAGAGGAAAAACTCTCCATCTGGCGACAGCAACTCCCGGCAGCACTCAGTATTGTATCATCCTCAGATATCCCAAATGGCGGTGGTCCACCGAGCAAGTTTTGGCGACAAAGTATCATATTGTCGCTTCGCTATTACAACACCCGAGCACTTCTCCATAGACAATTTGTTGTCAAAGGACTGAGCGAGATTTGGGGAGGCGGGCCAAGTACTAACAAGTTTGAGGGTGATTTCTTTTGGAACTTTGGATGGGCTAGCATAAAAGTTTGTGCGGAAAGCGCGATTGAGACGGTAGAGATCATACACAAAGTGAAGTATCGCAGCGATCTTCTTGGCTTTTGGTGGTTTACGCTTTACTACAGTACTTCTACTACAACCATTCATTTAGGAAAGAGTCTAACATCATGAAACAGCATTCAATGCGAGCTTGGTGCTTGTATCAAAAGTCCTTATTGTCAGTCAAGTGCGCCAACTAGCACTCCGACCGGACTTTGTCCCGGAAACCGCCAGTCTACTCAAACACCTTGAGATGGCCATGGAAACTATTGAGGTGCTTGCAGCTGGTAATAGAATCGCTAACCGCTGTCGTCTTTTCCTCAAGAATCTCATGCGCTACGTTATGCCCCTTGGTTTGTCCCTCTCTTCTTTCTACTCATTCTGGCAGTCCGCTAATCTACGCCACCGAAGCAACCTCCTCCCCTCGCATTGTAACATCAATACCACAGCCCGCTCAACTCCCCGATCGTACTATCACTGATACACCGGAATCCTCCACCATGCAGAATGAACCACCACAAGACCAGTATCAGGGTTCCATTGAGGATTTACAGAAATCGCCATTCCGCACACAGTTAGGGGAGTTTATGTTAGAGAGCGACTTCACGTATCTGAATTCTATCCTGCCGCCACTGATCATAGGCGACATGAGCGGTATGGAAAATGGTCAGCCATCTTCTGGCGGATACGTTCCTAACGGCAGCGACTATGCGCATATGAGTTTCGGGGCTTAAGCAGAGTCTCTCAATTTCACACCTTTCCCTCCCACCTTATACCCCCCCCCCCCCACTCCTTATAACATTGAACCTTTCTAGTTTTCTGTAATCGTTGAGTTTAAGGGCCTTTTCAGGTAGAATGCTCATGTGTACTGTATCATAGCTATTATGAGCGAATCTGGGTTGAATTATGAACATATTGACGTGCTCAATAAAGGTGTATAAGTTTATAAAACATAAGAGATGAGTGTCAGCGAGCTCGGCTGGTCTAGTGGTATGATTCTCGCTTAGGGTGATACCTTGAGTGTCTTAAGTGACTTGCGAGAGGTCCCCGGTTCAAACCCGGGGTCGAGCCGTGTGTTTTTTTGTAGGTTGGGACATGCACTTCGTGTTGGTTGAAAGGGATGCTGGTTTCCCATTGTGATTCGAAGTAACATCCGTGAATCCTATGCGAAGAACAAATAAAGTAGACTCTTTGGAGAGTAGCTGAGGGATGTGGTGAAACTTTTTTACAATAAAGGTTGTTGGTCTCCGCTGCGAATTAAGCCACTTAGTTTCGAGGAACGGGCGAGTGATACACTATGTAGTTGATATCACCTTCGTCCGCACCCGCTAGCCTTAGCCAGCCTGCATAATCACTGCTTCTAGCCCAGAATTGCTCGAGTATTACATTCTACCCCGTTTCTACTGATAGGCTATTTCCTTTGATCATACATAATGTTACCAATCCCAGGGTAAACCTTCATCCCCTCTCCCCAAGCATACCGAAATCCTACACCCTACCCTGAAATCTCTAGGGCCCAACTAGTCACTGCTCATCACTCGTGTGCCCGGCCACCAGCTACCCTCCCGGGTTCTCTAAACATCGTGCAGTGGCGCCAATATCATATGGAATCACTCGACCAACCTGCTTAGATGTTTCAGCATTCCCCCAACGTGCAAACCACCACCACCACCACCACCACCCCCAGCGCAGCATTTTATGCGCATTGCAATAAATCCAAACCCCAAAGCTAAAAGAAAGAAATCCATAACTCATATTATCACACTCAAAGAAATAAGCTAGATTACGAATTGTATGTGCTTCCTTCACTCCTTCCCTTCTTCCCAAAAAAAATCTCCTCCCAGCATATATATATATATATCCGCGACTGACTGACTTGGCCAGTCAGTCAGTCAGTCAGCCAAATAAGCAAAAATCCCCCGACCCGAAGAAACAAAGAAATAAACAAAAGAAAAAGAAATTAAGACAAAATCGTACAACCCCGCGAGTTAACGCCAAGCATAAGATGACACCACCGAATTATCGACAGTTAAGAGCAGTAGAAGACTGGAAGGAAGGAGGAGGTGGAGGTGGTTATAGCGACCGCCGAATGGCGCCGCCAGACCTCTTTGCGCCTTTTCCATCTGTGCCGTGGAGTTTTTTGGTGCCGGCGGCCTGGGGGAGGTCGGGTTAGCTAAACTAACCTAAATTACCACCCTATCTCCCCCCGCGTTGCAGGAGGGATGGAGAGGGCGTGGGGGAGGGGGATTATACTTTTACCCCACTGCGCCCAGTCAGTGTTCCTTCTACTTTTAATAACGCCCCTTCAAGTTTGTCGGAAAGGTGGGGCTTGCGCTTGTGATGGCTAGGTCGCTTCTTGCTCACGCCTGCGCCTGTGCGGTGGCTGGAGGTCTTTTTTGTTGTCCCTGTTGTTATTTTTGATGGCGCGGATTTGGGGGTTGGCTTACTTGCTGCTGCCGCGGTGGTGGTGGTGGGTTTGTGGGGAGTTGTGGTTTTGGAGCGGGTGGTGTGGGTGCTTGAGCGGGTGTTGTAGGCCATTTTGGATTTGATTGTGTGTAATCGCGGGTGGGATTTGGTGGGGTATGGAGGATGGATGGAGATTTCTTTGCGAAACTATTATATGATAGCACGGATGGTGGGGAACAGAGCTTTTTTGAGAAAGTGTGGGAGCAGAAGGGAGGAGAAGGAGGGAGGGGGGAGGGGAGGGGAAAAAGGGAATTCGGCGCCCTTTTTATATTCCAATTTTTCGAAGCTTGTTTTTTTTTTCCCCAAGGGATACATCACAATGCACTAACTTACTCACCTAGCTATCTACCTAACTTACCATGCCGCATGGTAGGAGTCAGGTAGCTACTACTGCTACTACTAACATACTACTGTGTACGGTGCAGACAGTTACTGCGAATGGCTACCTGTACTGTATCGGTATTGTAGGAAGGAAGGGAAGGAAGGAAGTGCGAGCGGTTTGGTTGAAAATGCCCCCGTCGCAAATCACCTCGACATCGGGAACTGCGATCGAAATGTGGTCCCCCCAAACGTCATCCCTGTTGACTGACCAAGTCACGCTCGAGAACGTGTAAGTTAGTTTAGATTCCTGCTGGTATGATACTGTACGGTAACTGTGCTACCGATATTACTTTACCCTACCATTACTGCGACCAGGGAGCGAGCTTTCTCAAAAGGGAAAAAAACAAAAAAACAAAAAAACATATATCATTTATTAAACTGGGGGTCCCCAGATGGAGTGATTGGTTATCATTTTTTTTATTTCATTTCAAGACCTTGCAGCATGTGACGGTGTTCCAAAGGCAGGGGTGAAGACAAAATCATGATGTGTGGGTGGTATATACTTCTATTGTGGTTATTTTTTTATTTTTTATTTTTTATTTTTTGCCATTCTTTTTTGAGCCCCAGACAGCTGAATGTGAGTCTGTATCATGAGGGGGAGGGAGGAGGGAGGAGTTGGTGGATCTCTTTTCCATTAACTACCGTAAAATCTGCTCGTTAATGAAATGGCCTGAACTAGGACTTTTCGAAATCTCCGGTACTGGGAAAACTAAGCTTTTGGGAATTTTGAAAAGAAGAGATATTCGGCCTAACATCAATTTCAGAAACTTGGTCGATTCCGAACTGTCCCAGTCCAGTCCAGTTCGCTAACGACCGGATTTTACAGTAGTAGAGAAGGCGGCAATCTTTACCGTCCCAGACTTTCATTATCGTACATTGGGCTACGTATCATATCATATCGCTCAGTCCCCAAGCTTGCCGGTGCCGCACTCTATCTCTGTCCTATCTATCTGGCCTGTCTTGGATCCAACGTGGAGAGATCAATACTGACACATCACTGGTCTCCCCCGCGATTTACTTGCCTACCACTACCGGCACTTGATTACCTACCCGCCCAGGAAGCTGGAGTTACGGCTGAGTAGGCGCCGGAAAGTCTCCGCCAACTCGGTCACGCTTAGAAGTCTCCAACATTCTACGTTTGATCATTTCTACCTATTCTTGTGTACCTCCTTCCTCCCCTCCATCTCTCACTTCCTCAGCCCTCTGTTTCCATGCTTTACGGCACTCCCACAGTACGGTACTGTACCAGCCCGACCGCGACCGCGAAAACAACCCTCAAGACTATTCTTCTAATATCAGACGGTCATTTTCTGAACTATACCCTATCCACATTTTCTCACCATTGCGGTATTTCAGGGAAAATAGGTAAACCCTGCATAACGAACCCTGGTGGATTTAGGGACGGAAATAAGCCGCCTTAGGTAGCAAAAAAGAACCAGCGCAACGTCACGATAGATCACTCGAGGCCAACACACGCATCCTGATTTGTGGATGCATCTGGCATTTTGCCGCATGACTTGGCACAAGGGCAGATAAAATGAACACGCACAGGTTCACGGACCTGTCTTCTCTGCTCTTCTCTTTGCTCTTTTGCTATGGGTACTTGTGAAATTCTACTAGTTAGACTCGAAACAAGAATATCGTGCCGGGCTGTGGGCTTTTTGCCTTTCTTAGATTGTCTCCCCTGCCTAGCCGGTGTTTTGAAGTTCTCGGTAGCGACTCTTGGGAGAAGAGGGAGAAGGAGACGCGGTTAGTCGAACCGCAACATACTGCGAGGAAGGAGAAAAAAAAAGAGCGAACTACAAACTCAGCTTTTATCGTCTCCGACTTCCAAGAATGGCTTTTGGCAATTCGGGAACCATGTGCATCGTAGTCCATCTGTAAGACGATTCCATCCAGACTACAGGTCGCGTTAGTTCAATCGTGATCTGTGGGGAGGAGGCACCGGATCTTGATTCTAACTCCACGAGTACCGACATAAGCGTCGGTTTCCAAAGCCATCGCCAGCTGTAGCAACCATTTGATGGTTAACTCTGTTCTGTTTCCAAATAATTTAAGTTGTGTTTCGGGGCCAGAGTTGGCACCTATCTCGCCCTGAATCAGCACGGGTTTCAAAGCTTTGGATCGATGAGTGAAAGGCGCCTACGTGGAATACTCGACCAGTACCACTCCCAGCTTTTGTCTGTCAACAGAGACAACAAACTCGAGGTGTTTTTCGCATCCCTTATCACTTGAGGGTCTTCTGTGGAGACAAACGCAATTTTTCGAAACGATAGAGGGTTCTCTATGATGTGTGTCTCCGCGTAGCACATACTCTTGGAACTCCACCAGATTCATTTCGATCCTACGCGATAGAAAGGTTATGCTGTTAGTCTTGTGGGCGCATAAAACCTAAGGTTTAGGGTTTCAGAGGAGAGAAATGCTTTTTATCACCATGCTGAACATGCATACTAAATGTTCCTGGCGGCAGCGTGAATGGCACACTGAGTTTGTGCGCCAGGGGCATTCCTGTGCTGTCTCGATTTAAGGAAATTCCGTGGTGCAGTTTTGGATCAAACCTCAATTCTCTCGACCTTCTCATTGTTTCCCCATTCGGCCTCAGGATAAAGGCTGCGCTCTGACTTCACCAATATTTTGCTGCGTTGGGCGTCATGTCAGGAAACCTCTCTCTGTGTGCCTGTCCCAGTACCGGTGGCAAAGAATTCGGATGAGTTTTGTAGAAAATTTCCGGCACTGGTTTCGTCCATGGATATGTTACCGTTTCAGGATCAAGGACGGCATCGGAATATGTGCAGTTGGTGATCCGGTGGAAGATGCAATCGAAAGATTGATGGCAGCTAGAAAATTCCGTGTTGGGATCCGGGGACTGGATGAAGTGCCTTCCTGGGGAATCCATCGGGTCATATATTAATATCCTATCCGTACGGATGGCTAAAGCAAGGGTTGTGGCTATAGCCTGTGAGATAGCACCAAGGCCAAAATCCTCATCATTCGGGAAGCTACAGATGACGAAAAACTTCTTTCCCTCACAAGAGCTAGGGAATTGATGCTTATGAATAAAGTCCTGAGTGAACCTCGTGAGAGGGGATTGACCCTGATCAAAGAATATATGTTATCCAAGTGTTCGAATAGGAGAAACAAATTGAGTTCATACCCCTTCATCTAGCTCGTTCATATATCTCCTCCAGCCCTCGGTCTTCAGATTGTAAAATTTTGTAAACCGT